ATTCTCTCTTCCATCTCTTGAATTCTGTTGGATATACTTACATCTTTAGTTCCTGATCGTTTATCCAACCTTTCCATTTCCAGCATGGTCTCATTCTGTGTTTTCTTTATTGTGTCTATTTCAGCTTTCATGCTTTGAGCTGTTTCAAGAGCTTCCTTCACTTGTTTGGATGTTTTTTCTTGGCTTTCTTTAGATTCTTTAAGAGATTTATTTATTTCTTGAATTTTTTGGTTTGTCTTTTCCTCTAATTCGTTTAATTTTTTGTTTGCTTTTTCTTCTATTTTTTTAAGGGATTTTCTTGTTTCCTCTTTAAAGGTCTCTATCATCTTGCTGAGATAATTTTTAAGGTCCATCTCATCTTCATGCTCTGTGTTGGGCTTTTCAGATCTTGCTGGAGTGGAGTCCCTAGATTCTGGTGGTGTCATATTGGTCTTTCTGTTGTTGAGTGAAATCTTATTTTGTCTTCTCCCCATATCTTCTTTTAGTGGGTGCAGGTGGGGTCTCTCTATCTCCTCTTGTGACCCAGTGGTGTGTGGGGGCCAGGAATTCAATGTCCACAACTCTGGATGATCTTGACACTCCTGGTTGTCTCCTCACTCGTTCCTAGTTCCTCGGTCGTTTGGCAGAATGGAAGAGTGGGATGCTAGCATATTCGGGGCGCAGGGAGCTCCTCCCTGCCTGGGCATGTCTGGCCCAAGCCCTCAGGCGCAGGCGGGGGTGGGGGATTGGGAGTTGTCGGGGTGTATGCTGTTTTGGCCTGGAGTCGGGCGGGGGCAGAGACTCACTCACCTAGTTCCTGGTCAGTTGGCGGCAGAAGAACCCAATTCTTATATATCTTTTGTCTTTCTTCAGAATGTCTTACTATGTAGCCTTGACTGGTCTGAAACACACCACATAGACCAGGCTGGCCTCAAACTCAGAAATATTCCTGCCTCCACCTCCCAAGTGCTGGAATTAAAGGCATATGCCATCATCCCTGGCCCAATTCTGACATTTTAAGTAGGTGGATAGATAACATTACTAAAGTACATACTTAAACATGGTTAAGATGGCAATTTCTGGTATGATATTTTAGATAGGCATAATAGGTAAAAGAGATAGGGATATATTTAACACTACTGACTATACTCTTAAAGATGGCTAAGGTGGTGAATTCTAGTGTGGAATTTTTAGGTAGATGATAGGTACGTAGGTAGATAGATGACAGATGAATGGACAGACAGATAGGTAATTTGCTTGTTTTCATCCATGGGTCCAGGTTAATATAACTTCCTCTCCAAGGCAGACCATAGAAACTAGAATTCTCTTCCCTGAAGTGAGAATCTACTCCCACTTTTAGCCAGCCACAAAAAACAAATTTCTCCCATCTTTCCTTGTCTGATAGGTCCTAAGACCAACCTCAGTCCAGAGGAATCCTTCTCCCTACCCAGGATGAAGGATGTTGCACAGAGAGGCCAGGAAGAGCTCAAGGAAGCAGGCCTTGCTGTGTCCCCACCCTGTCTGTTAACATAGACATTCACCAAAGCCAAAAAGGACAGAGTTCAGAGTGCTCCCAGGTAGACACATGCTGTTCCTGGTGGGCAGTATATCCAGAATGAGGTTCAAACCCCTTCCTGGGTGCCTTGCCCATATAGCTCTTCATCTGGATCTTTCATAACATCCTCTGTAATAAAACAGTGTTCTTTTCCCTATGGCTGTTGAAGCAAATGAATTCCATCTAACAGCCAGTCAGTCAGAGGCTAAGGTGACCTGCCTGGGGCTAGGTACTGGCATCAAACAAAGAAGATGCCGTCTAGGAACGGAGACCTTAAAAAAGTCCATGGGACCTGACACAGTCATGACTGATAGCATCAGAACTGAATTGGATTGGAGCACACTTGGGTTAGGTATCTGCTGCTGCATAACGGTTAGAGCCCTGGCAGAGAAAGACACTCAGGCCCTCGGTGGTCACGATAACCTCTTGATTGCTGGTGTGGCAACAGGGAAGGAACCATTAGTTTTTCCCACATTCATGTCATGTAGATTTTAACACAATTAAAAACTTAAAAATTGCTGGGCGTTGTGGCACACGCCTTTAATCCCAGCCCTCAGGAGGCAGAGGCAGGCGGATCTCTGTAAGTTCAAGGCCAGCCTGGTCTCCAGAGCGAGTGCCAGGATAGGCTCCAAACCCTGTCTTGAAAAAAACAAAACAAAACAAAACAAAACAAAACCTTAAAAATTACTTTCTAAAAGAAAAGGATTGTAGGCTCTGGAGGGAGTAGCCTGAGTTTTGTCTACTTATTTGCTGTGTAACATTTACTGCTCTTTCTGTGTCTAAGTTGCCCACATGGCAATAATGACACTAAGTCTTATAGACTTAGTTTTAAGGACCCCAGAAGCTGAGTCACACAAGACATTTACAACAGGACTGCAGACTGAAACATTCAACCCAAGCAAGATAATTCTTTTCCCTTGAGTGTACCATTGATGACTCAAGTCACCACTATTTTGTATAGCACTAATAAACCAGCCAATGCCAACTGTCAGCTATGACCATAGATACTTGCCTTTTTCAGAGATTCAAATGTAACAAAAAGATATCTTCGAATTACTGACATACAATTTGATAGTCATCGTCTAGTCTTCATTGGCCATGTTTGACTGTATCCTTTTGTGTTCCCTGGAGTTCTGTTTGTATATTTGCTTACCTGGCTTCTCCCACCCCATAGTTCCACTTTGTCCACTGAATTCTATAATATACACATTAAATGACTCTTTTCTGTGCATCTTTCCTGAACCAATCAGAATTACTGGTTTCTCTTCCCTGCTCCCATAATCCTTTGGGAGCATCTCATTGTCTTCCTGAGGCTGGTTGTACACACCTCTCTTCAATTTGATGATCCTCTTCCTTTAAAAGGAATATTTCTCTCTCTCTCTCTCTCTCTCTCTCTCTCTCTCTCTCTCTCTCTCTCTCTGTGTGTGTGTGTGTGTGTGTGTGTGTGTGTGTGTGTAAATCAGAGGGTAACTTGCAGGAGTCAGTTCTCTTCTTCCACTGTACAGGGACTGAATTCAGGTCATCAAGCCTGGCGGTTAGTTTTCATTCACTGAGCTGTCCTACCATCCCCTCTTCCTTCATGATGCTGCAGCACCTAGAGACAGACTTCCATCAGCCTTGACAGGATGGAGAACACAAGCAGATATCAGAGAGGAGTAGACGAAACAGTCTCTAGCCCAGGGAATGAGCCCTGGCTGACAGAATAGAAAAGGAAGTCTAAAGGTGACTTAGGAATGGTTGTCAACACATAAAGGAGTGGCAGACCTCATATGATGGGCTGTCTGCTATATGGCCCAAGGGATAGGCTTCTTGTAGCCTAAGAGGTTGTGATCAGTCCTTGGGACAAGTCTTTACTCAAAGCTAACCTATGGGGCTTGTTAAACAATCTTGCTCCCCAACAATCTTGCAGAGATTCTTATTCAGGAGGTTTGAGCTAGGGCTCAAGAGTTTGTAACAAGTCCCCAGATGACCCCAGTGCCTGCTGTCTGTGCCAATTCTCTGAGATGGCTTCTGTTGCTTGAAGGCAGCCAGTGGACCACAGGATCTTTATAGTTCTTTGATGCATTTTTTTCTTTTGCATTCTAGGTGTTTCTAACTGGGGAGGCTATGCCCTGGCCTGTGCACTATACATTCTGAACTCATGTGACATCCATGAACGTTACCTCAGGAGGGCAGTCGGGCCTTCCAGGGTGGCTGTGGAGCAGAGCTGGACTCAGGCCCTGCCATCTGTCGCTAAGGTAACATACTGCAGCAGCCCACTGGCCTAGATGCAACCTTGTCTGATGAGAATTAAGTAGGCCTAAGTGTTCCAAACCATATGATCACATCAGCCACCATGCTACCCATGAAGCCAAAGGCAAAGCTACCTTTGAGGGACTGTCTCTCTGCTGGGTTAGGCTTTGAGACAAAACCAAGCAACCCTTTGATCTACTTCTGGTCCTGGGTCCTATGTGAGACCCATTTGGAGAGATCCTGTCCTGTCTGTTTGGCTGTTGGCAAGTTGCTTCCCCCCGCCACTCCCCAGAGTTGCTGGATGAAGGGAATGCCTGAGCCATGGAAGTGGTGACCTGGGTTGTGAACAGGAGGTGGGGTGGGAGTCCTTACTGTTCTCTTCACAGAGCTAACAGCTCCGTGAGGACACTAAAGCATCTTGGGTAAGCACACATGCTAAAGTGTGGCGGCAGATCAGGGGGGAAGAGAGTCCTGAGGGTGTAGACCGGAAGGACTCCACCAGACATTCTAGGTGGGAAGGGCATGAACAAAGGCCCTGGCTGTGTAAGATCGCTCCTCGATGGAGGATTGTAGGCTCAGGAGTGATGGGAGAGACCCCAGAAAAGCTTTCAAAATTGCCCCTGCATGTGTGTAGGAACTCCAAGCCTACCATAGGCTTATTAAGCACCTCAGGGTCAGCAAACAAAACCCCACCATGCAGTTCACCAAACCCCAAGTGCCGTTCTAGACACATCTCATAGGCCAGAACAAAGAGCAGCAACCCTTAATGTCTAACTTTAGCAAACTTGGGTATGTGTGGGGGCAGCATGGGAAGCATCCAGCCTTGAACCAGTGCTGGATGGGCTGTCCCTCCCTTGGTCCTCAATCCCTATAACTATCCAGGAGCCATCCTGCTCCCCAACACTGATCCTAAACCCAAACCTCTCCACTGTGGGTGCTTCCAGAAGGGGTGGACCTACCCTACCCTGAGGAGCAGCTGGTGGACCGGACCTATAGGACACAGATGAAATATCAGCTTCTTGCTGGCTAGCCCCATGGGGAATCGGAAACCCAGTAAGCCGGGCCAGAGCCCTGGCTAGTGCATTAGTTAAACACCACAACCTGGGCAACTGAGGAAACCATTTGCTTTGATATATAGTTCCAGAGGGACAAGAGGCCATCATGGGGGGCGGGGAACATGGCAGCCAGCTACAGGCATGGTGGCTGGAGCAGGAAGCAGAGAGCAAACTGGAGGTTGCTTGTTAAACTCACAGTGCTAAACTGGTCTTCCTGGATTGGGGAATTCTGAAGCAGGCCAGATGAACAGAATTCCAGGCTAGTTCCTGATGTGTCCAGACCTAAAGACCTGCTGGTCACTGGCTCAATTTCTAGGGATGTGTGCCCATTTAAGAAAGGACAGACAATTGTTATGTCTCCCAGCCAGGCAAGGACTGGTGCCCCTGAACCCCAGTTCCTGACAAACCTCCATATTTAGAGGCCCTTTTTTGTAGCCTCTTTTTTATGTTGTCTTGTGCATTTCTGCGCCTGGTTCTCTTTCTCCCTCCTGCCTCCCCTTTGTTGAATTCAGTAACTCTCTGGGTTATTATCTCCACAGAGGAGAGAACTCTGTGCGGTGGGTATCACCAAGTCCACCCGATAACAGGCAGAGCTGAAGTGGGATTTGGGGTCTCTCTGACCCTGACTCTGGGCTTTCCTCTGGTGACCCAGAAGTTTCTCAGCCCCTGAGAATGCTGGGGCATGGGGAAGAGGTAGGTGTGAGACTCAAGTGACATTTTCATGGGGGAAATGGTCTTGTCTTCCCTGGGGGACTCAGAGGCCTTCTGTTCTTTATGCTTCCTGCATCTGAACTGGTAAACATGGGGGGCTGCCCCCCACATGACTACTGATTCACACAAACACCAAGTATGAACCCCACCCAGCCAACCCCCACAGGCTCACACTCACCCTCCAGGGATGGAAAATTCTCCACTTGGCATGGATGCCCAGTCTTTCAGAAGTGTATTAACAATACCTCCTTCTCAAGGAGGAAATGGAAAGGCATGTTTTTAAAGCAAAGGCAGAAGGGCATTTGCTGAGCCCCTCCTGGGGGCCAGGCCCAGGCGTGTTCTGGGAAACAATGAGGAGTCAGACATGGCCTCTGGGGAAGAAGCTTGAGGAACAAGGAGAGTAACATGGGGGCCTCGATGGAAGTTTCTGTCTCCCTCCGCCTCCCTTCCACTTCTCTTCCTCCTCTGCCTCTCTCTGTTTGGTCTGAAATCCTGGCTCAAGCAATCCTTTCCTCAGCCTCCTGAGCACTTAGAACTATAGGTATGCCCAATTTCCCAACTCATTCAAAATGTTTTTTCCAGCTTGCTTAAAAATAACATCTTTCCCTGTAAATATCGGCCCACTGTGTTCCAAAATTATTAGCAGGTCACCACCTGCCTCTAAGCCCAGAAATTACCGTGGGGCCTCTGTCCCCATCCACTTTGACTCCATCCGTGAGGCCTGCCCTCCACTTTACTCCTCCTTCCCCATCTCTTGCTTCACTGTCTGCCTCTGCCTGGGCACCATGGCAGTTTCCAGCTCTGCTCCAGCAGGGAGGAGCTGCCCCTTCCACTTGGTCTCTTAGAAGATGTTGTGGTCCTTCCTGGAAATCTGCTGGGAGGGGCAATCTGCCCTGCTTGGGGACCAGGCAATTGGTCCCTGTGGCTCTTAGAGTCTGAGTGCCAGCCAATTCCTAACCTGCCATCTCCTCACACTCACCCTGAGGACTCCACAGCCTTCTCCATGTCCCAAGGATGAGAACAGTGAGGGCAGGCAGTGTTCTGGGAGGAAATGTCCCCATCGTGCCACTTGCATTGCTCCAGAAAGAGAGGATATGAGTAATGGGGAAGAGAAGTCGGAGAATGGAGCCCAGACAAAGGGTGGGAAATGCCTGTCTGGACTGGGGAGCCCCTGGCCAGGAGCTCTTGACAAAGACTTGTGTGGAAATGTACTTGGACCTCTCTTTCATGGGGATCATCTGCCTCCACCCACGGGCCGAACAGAAAGGCCGCTATAGGAACAAAGATAGTTTCTAAGCAACATTTGCCAGCTTCCCCGTGTGTGTGTGTGTGTGTGTGTGTGTGTGTGTGTACATGTCTGTGGTACACTTTCATGTGTACTCATATATATGCAGAGGCAAGAGGCTAACCAAATATCATGGTATTGAGAGCCTGTATGTGTGTATGTGTGTTCGTACATATTCATGTATGTACATGTCTGTGGTACACTTTCATGCGTACTCATATATATGCAGAGGCAAGAGGCTAACCAAATACCATGGTATTGAAAGACATGAGTTACAAAGCTTCAGTCTATAATTATAACCCCAGAAAGCATCCCTAGGGGCACCCTAGGGAACTGAGTTTGGTGTTGTGCTCTGTACTGTGACTATATATATTGTTGTCGGTTGTTTTTTTACTCTTTGACTCTTTTGGGGAGCTGCCATCCAGCTCCCAAAAACACACAAGAAGGCTTACTCTTTCTTATGAATGCCCAGCCTTAGCTTGGCTTGTTTCTAGCCAGCTTTTCTTAAATTATCTCATCTACCTTTTGCCTCCTGGCTTTTACCTTTCTCTATTTCTGTACATCTTGCTTTCCTTCTTACTCCATGTCTGGCTTACTCCATGTCCTACTTCTCTCACTCCTCCGTCTTTTCCTCCCAGGTTTCTCCTATTTATTCTCTCTGCCTGCCAGCCCCGCCTACCCTATCTCCTGCCTGGCTGTTGGCCATTCAGCTCTTTATTAGACCATCAGGTGTTTTAGACAAGCAAAGTAACACAGCTTCAGAGTTAAACAAATGCAATAAAAGAATGCAACACGTCTTTGCATCATTAAACAAATGTTCCACAGCATAAACAAATGTAACACGTTTTAAAGTAATAATCTACAACTGTACATACTGTGAGTTCCTGGTCAGTCAGCTAGCTTGGGACCACCTTGGGGGCTTGAACCTGTCAACTCACCCTTGAATCCCTGGGTCAGAGACTGTCACAGCAGGGGCTCAAGAGAACTGATGGAGAGAGAGCAAATGCCTCATCAGGTAGGTGGCAGCCCTTTAGTGTCTGCATTTCCTGCTGGAGATTTTTTTGGTTCCTTCTCGGTGAGGAAGGAGAGAGAGGGTGTTTGATTTGGCCCCTCCTGCCTGTTGCCTTCCCTTAACTGTTCAACAGGAACAGTCAGTCATGTTAGTGGTTTTGGCAGGTGGTTCTTTGGGACCTTACTTTTGGAGGGAAAGGAAAGGAGGTGGAACAGTCCCTATCCTTTAACAAGCTCTGGGGTTTCCCCACTGCAGTTAACAATAGGCCTCATTCCTACTGTGTGCCAAGGGCCATGGTGGGTGCCTACTGTGTGCCAAGGGCCATGGTGGGTGCTTTACTTCCAGAATCTCATTTAATCCTCACAACAGCTCCTGGGGGGGGCATGATGCCACCAGTATTAACACCCCCATTTGGCAGATGAGATTTCCAAGACGGAGAGGTTAAGACACTGCCAGGAAAACCCCACATCTGATGTGTCTAAACCCAAAGCCCTTCTGGGGCCCAGCTGCATTTTCTCTATGGCTCTGCTCCCTCCAAATGTTCCCATGTCAATGTTGGAAAATGGAGGCGGCAGCAGCAGCAGCAGCAGAACTAGCGCTGTGCTGGTTAGATTTTTCCCCCACGGGAATGGTCAATGTAACTCAAGCTATGATCATGTGGGAAGAGGAAAACTCAATTGAGAAAATACCTCCGTGAGACTGGCTTCTAGGAAAACCCGTGGGGCATTTTCTTTATTAATTGATGTGGAAGGGCCTGGCCAATGTGGTGGTTCCATCCCTGGGCAGGTAGTCCCAAGTTGTATAAGAGCTTGCCATAGAGAGCAAGCCAGTAAGCAGCACTCTGCCTCAGCTCCTGCCTCCAGGTTCCTATCCTGAGGCTTCCCTCAGTGATGAAGTGTGACCTGAGAGCTAGAAGCTGAAATAATCCCTTTCCTCCACCTTTTTAGTCCTGGTATTTATCCCAGCAGTAGAAAGCAGACTGGAACCTGCACCCACCCCACAGGAGGCTAACAGTGGGATCTCAGGAGGGCCTTCTGAAGCAATCAGAGCCATGGGAGCTCATCCATTGCATATCTAGGGACTGGGTTGGTGGGAGGATTGCATTTCTCTAAGAGTTAGGAGCAAGCAGGCCTCCACCAGGACATGAAATGTGTGAATGTGGTCATGTGATGGTAAGTGACTCCTCCCCCCCCCAAAAAAAACAGCTGATCTGTTTAAATCCTTTTTGTTTGAGACAGGGTCTCATTCTGTAGATCAGGCTGGCCTGGAGTTTGGTTATTTAATCCAGGCTGGCCTCAAACTCACTGTAAACCTCCTGCCTCAGCCCCGTAAGTATTAGGATGACAGCTATGAGTCACCACATCAAGCTCTCAATTTGGGTTCTTATAAGGAGCTTTCCAGTGAGTTCAAATTTTACTTTGTAAAAAGAGGCACATTCCTGGGAGTGGTGCCACGCACCTTTAAAGCCCAGCATTTGGAAGGCAGAGGCAGATGCATCTCTAGGAGTTTGAGGCCAGCCTGGTCTCTGTAGTGAGTTTCAGGTCAGCCAGGGCTGCAGACACCCTGTTTTAAAGAGGAGGAGGAAGAATTGAAAAGAAAAGAAAAAGGAAACAGAAAGAGAGAGAAATGGGGAGAGACTGTAAGGAACAGAGAGGGGGCTGCAGAGACGGTGAGAGGTCAAGTCCAGCACTTTCTCTACTTAGAGATTTTTGCATTTCCTCCCCCCACATGACTTTTTACCTCTTCCTCGTCTCCGTTTTTCCTTCCCAGGAAGAAAAAATGTTGGGCATCCTGGTGCAGAACCAAGTCCGGAGTGGAGTCTCGGGCATCGTGGGCATGGAAGTGGACGGGCTGCCTTTCTACGGTGTTCATGATGAGATGGTCCAGAAGCTGCTGGATGTCACCGCAGGGCACTTGTGACCCATGTGTGGCTTGTGTGCAAAGTCCCTACCCAATGACAAGCCTGTGTCCAGGCAGGAGGTCCAGAGGCATTGATTGCTCTAACTGCCCTTCATTCCGGCTTCTTCAGGCCACCCTTGTGGTCTGCTCTGTTGTTTTTCTTTTGTAGCTGTTGCTGTCTTTTAAGTTAGGCTCTCCTATTCAGCAACTGCAACTCCCCTGTTCCCAGCAATGGCTAGGTGGTAGGTGGCTAGGCTGCAAGGCTGCAAGAGCCGAAGCCTGGGGGAATTCTGTTCTCTCAGGCATGACTCTTTCAAATCTTGTAAGGAAACTTATTTAAATCTCTGTCCCACTAAAGAAATCAAGATTCAAAGATTGAGGTAGAATCCTGCTTCCCAGAGAGGCTGAATAGCAAGCAGCTCACCTAGTTCACCTCTTCGAATCTCCCATGAAGTCTTCGTGCTTTTTCTCGAGCCCCCCTTATAAACCCTTCTCCACCTGGCTCCTCCCTACAACTTCCTGTCAGCTAGTTGCTGACCCAGCCTCCTGCCCGCAGGTGAATTTTATTTAATCAAACACACCTTTGCATCACTAAACAAATGTTCCAGAGCATAAGCAAAAGCAATGCACCTTACAATAATATTTTACAACACTGCTCTGAGAACCTTTCTGCCTGCTTAAGAAATAATGTGTGACAGTTTACTGTAGGGCAGAGCATAAGAATAGGTATTGCCATGACCTGGGCTAATTAAGAAAGGCTAGAGTGCCCACACATGGAGTGCTGGGTTAAAACCCTGAGGCTTTGTACTCACCATAACCAGCAAAACACTTAAGCCTTTGAAATACGTTCTTTTTCTAATAGTTTTCCATTTACTGTTTGAAGGGGTCCCCCACAAGGTCCCTCCAGGCATCACACCCACTGCCCCTCACCTCCATTCACCCCATTTCTTACACACCTGTCCCGGGTGCTAACTACTATCCCTGGCCAGATTCTTTGCCCTCTTTGTGTGAGAAGGAAGCCATATTTGCCCATAGAGCCCAAAGGTGAGCCAGACCTGGCCAGAGCTCAGGCAGATGAGCTCGTCCTGATCTTGCACCACCTCCAACCCCCAATCCTCAGCAAAATCAGAAACTGAGCCACTGACCATATCCCGTTATACACCTGTGTGTCAGGATGACAGCTTGTGTGGGATCTGAGCCTACAAAGTCTTATTTCATTTCTTTAAATGTGTCTGGTATAGTTCTTCAAGGGACACTCATTGTGAAGAAGGAACACATGGTATAGATTTTACACTCCAATAAATCATAAGTGTAAAGAGAAATGTAATTTTGGTATGAACTTTGGTGTCTGCTGTCTATTTTTTATTCTGGCCAGGGTTCATGCCTGCAGGGTTCCATCTGCAGGGTCCAAGATTGTGTTTGTGGGAGACACTCAAGATGAGGGCCAGTCCTCCATCTAAGCCCTCGAAGCTCAGCAAACACACCTTGGCTCTGCAGCCTCACTGCCCAGGTCTCTTCCAGTTATCCTTTAAACTAAATGATTCCACACCATGAGGGACTCTCATCAAGAGGATACCCTGACAATTAAAAGCAAAAATAGATGACTACGTTGACTACAAGAGAGACTGCCATCACTATCTTATGACTCATGTTTGGGGGAAGATATTCATGGATTTGGCTTTTGCAATAGCAATAGCAAAATTCTACTCCAGCAATGAGCGTGCCGAAAGGTAGACAAGTTATGCTTGCTGTGGGAAGAAATGCATGGAGAGGTTGATTGAGCTGTTTAAGAAAAAAGACCCAATTTAAGACCCAATTAAGTTCAGAGAAGGCAGAGAGGGCTTGTAGACTCTGAGTGGGGCACCCAAGTGCCATCCTTTTCAGGGAGACGTACTTACAACTGAGGCTGGGGTACAAAGGAGGGCAGGAGAGACACCCTCAGAATGTCCAACTCTGGCTGTTAGTGCTCCATTTTCCAGGACCTGGCTTTAAAGTTTTTCTGTTACTCACTGCAATTCCCACTCAGCCTTGTCCTAGTCATGTGTGTTCTTAGAAGAAAGGTCTGCGTTCATGTCTGTGATGGCTACAACCTGCAAAAGCCAGTGACAGGAGAAGAAGAGATGGCCTGCAGGGAACTGTGGTGTCACTCAGGGTGAGATATAGGCCTGATTCCAGTCATTGCTAGGCAAACGGAATCTGTGGGCTTTTCTGGATGCTGTGGAGAGGGATCCTAGGAAACAGGACAGAGGATACACTCACAAGCAAGCTGGTGAGGCTATCTCATTGAGGTAGCATGCTCTATCCAAGTGGGCCAGCTTCTTGGTCCCTGGATGTCCTCTGTACAACTGACATCCTATTGCTCAGCCTGGAATTCACTATGTAGACCAGGCCGGCCTTGAACTCACATAGATCTACCTGCCTCTGCCTCCCAAGTTCAGAGATAAAAGGTGTGTGCTACTATGCCTGGCTTTTTTTTTTTTTCTTTTTGTAATGTGGGTTCTAGAGACTAAATTCAATCCCCATGTTTGCACAGCAGGCACTCTCCTGATGAAGTCATCTCTTCAGGCCCTTCTCTCTTTATGAACATAAAATAAAGCTATATTGGTCATTTATGCTTGTTATTTTTATTATTTTGGGTCAGAATTTGAACCCAGGGCTAACCATGAGACACACTCTTGCCCTTGTTTTATGGCACTGTGACTTGGATGGGGTTTACTTATTGCTCCAGTTCAATCTAGCTTTGACTAAAAGCTTCATCACTGAGAAGTGTCTTCAAACAACTGTACCCTAAGAGTTGCAGCTACAGTCACGGCCAGTAAAGTGATTCTGTGCTGGGGGCCTTAGCAGCTAAGATGCCCCTGGAATGGCTTGTCTGCATAGTAATGAGTTAGCTTCCACTGCTAGTATCTGTGAAGTGTGGACTGAGGGACCCAAAAGGGGTACTCGGCAGTGAGAACATTGGGTATTGTGATCTCTCTGCTATACTCCAGCACAAATAATGTCTCACATATCAGTATTCGTCTGGGAGTTACTAACTGAAAGAGAATAGGATTGAAATCCTACCATTTCCCCCAGAGCCCTGGACACAGAAACCAGACGAATTCCAGTTTCCATCCCCAGATGCATAAAGCAATTGGGTCGGGTCCCAGCTTTCTCAAGAATGCATGAGCTGATGGCAAGAAGCAGATGGGGTTGTGTTCTGTAGTGAAGCTTTCTCCTACTCATCTGGGGCCAACCCACAGGCCAGTGTGTGTAAACAGGAAGATGAGCCCTCATCTTAGTAAGCCACAGTGGTGAATAGAAAAGGAATTTTAATGGCTTCTGTCACCTTCAGAAGGCCAAACCAGATGGCCTTTTCCTTCCAGACCTTCTCTTAGGAGAGAAAACAGTATTAATCCTTAATAGTGTTCTCACTTAGTCTGTTTGGGAGAAAGATCTATTCTTCCACAACACTCCAGAACTCTGGAGTCTGACCCACGCAGGGATTAAGTGGTCATTTTCAAATGTATGTTTCAATAGGATGTGGTCAGTCATAGCAATAAACATTGAGTCTGTCACTGTTTATGACACTGAGGGTGTCCCAGCAGACAGAGGTTGTCAACAAACAAGGTGGGCGACTCCAAACAAAATCGGATGATTCTGGGGGAATGTCAGAGAGATGAATTCAGCAAGCCCTTCTTCTGGTCTAATGGAGGCTCACCCTCACTGTGGAGGCAGCTACGCAACATACAGAACCCCAAGTGGTCAAAGACAGAGGGAGTGGTATTCCTCAAACCACAGGGCTGGGCTTTCACCTCAAAAGTCCCTGATGGATTTGCAACAACACCCTGCACAGATGCCTTCAGGGTGGGTTTGCAACAATACTCTGCACAGATGCATCCAGGGTAGATTTTTGACAATGTGCTGCACTGGTACATAACTCTTGTCACAAGGCAGAAGAGAAGACCCTACGGCACTTGATGGCCTGGTCTTGATGGGAGCTCAAGAGCAGTCCCCAACTTGTCCTGAGTTTTCCCTAACGTCAACCCCTGGATCTTCCTGACTATTTGGGGTCTTTCAAGGACACTCTGGATTTCCTTGGTGCCGGTAGAGTCACTGCACAGAAGGACTGCACAAACTCTGCTGTGATTGGTTACTTTGTTTTATTTGCAGACTGAATCACTACATAAATCCACCTCACAGTCCAACACAGGGATACTTGGCATAATAGAGATGACAATACAAAAATACAGCTCTCCATTGTAAGAGGAGCCAGACTCAGCTTGTTCCAGTCCAAGCCAGTGAGATCCAGAATTTCAGGTCAAAATGGAGAGGGGAAGGAGGGGGCGGGGATACTGCAGAATGAAGAGGTGTGGGACACTCAGCTATCACCATTGCCCCACAAGGTCCTAGGCTGGGGTAGGTATGGGTCTTTCTGGCGTGCAGCCATCTCTGACAAACTCTCCTACAAGAACTATATCAGAGTGGAGCTTGAGGCCAAACCTGTGGTCAAGAGACATGATGATGTGTGTTTTGTTAGTTTGGTTGTACCTAGGAACTCTGGGAAACTGTCACATTCCCCTCAAAGGCTGCTGGATGGTCTATAGCGTGTGGAGTGAAGGATAGGAGTTCCTGGCAGTAGTCGCATGACTCTGGTATCAGTGTCTTGGCCACAATCGCCATGGACACCCTGCCATTTTTATATTCTCTCTCTCTCTCTCTCTCTCTCTCTCTCTCTCTCTCTCTCTCTCTCTTCCGTCAGGCGCTCAGATCTAGCTAGCACTCTGGTCAGATGGAAACAAAAAACTAATTAAGAAAAGCCCTATTCAGGAACTTGGTTAGGGACACAGCTTCAGGCCCAAGTCCTCTTATTTGAGCTTTAGGATGACATTTTGGAGGGCCCCTGGGATCTCCCCAGAGAGCCCTGGGGTTTGTTTGCCATCAGCCCTTCGGGTTTGGGTTCGACCAGCCCTGTAAAAGTGGGACGTGACTGGTCCTGGGGCTGTCACTCTGCTGTTGTTCCTGCCCCCTCCATACCAGTACCGCACCACACCCCCATTCTTCACCTTAACCAGCTTCCTGTGTCACACAAGACCACAGCACATTTGGACTGGAATCATGTGTGGCAACAGTGGCACCGGAAGGCTTGGCGGTTGAAAACGTCCTGGGAGTGACAATTCTGACTCTCTCCCACCTGTAGCTCAGGCAGCATCAGAGAATATGGGAGAAGACAGGGCTCATTCACACACTCAGCAGTGCCCAGGTTCAGCACAGAGTAGGCTTCCAGGGGGTGGGGGGACCTAGCTGTGGCCCAAGACCGAGAGGTCCTTCCTGCCTGAGGAAAGAGGCACCTGTACATGGCAATGTGGGAGACAGCCACCGCACAAGCTCCAGACCACAAGGCCCGTTGGTGAAAGCTCAGGCCTAACCTAGCCTCACATACGGATGACTCAAGCTAGGCCAACCCAACTGTGGGCGATCCTCCCACTCCCAGTGAGTTAGGGGTCTGGAAGGCCGAGTGGAGCTTGGTTAACAATTCAGGCTCCTCGCCCTGGGCCCCACTTTTCCCAGAAGCCTCAGGGGCACCCAGAGGGTAGGCCTCCCTGGCCCTGCTTGTCCTGGAGCAGGTAAGGAAGGCCAGGCAGGCTCCTCGGAGACGGGCTAGGTCCCTGTGAGTGGTCTCACTGACGAAGCAGTACAGCACCGGGTCAGCTACACAGTTGAAGCTGGTGAGGAGGAGGGAGAAGTGGTAGATGTTGAAGACGCTCTTGGCAAACTCACAGCTGGCCTCCCAGAGGCTGCGCACCAGCAGCAGCACGTGGTAGGGCAGGAAGCAAGCCAGGAAGATGACCACCGTGCTCAGCACCAGCCGCTGAATCTGGTCCTTGCGGCTCTTCTGTGTGCCGTGGCTGCGGCGCACAGCCCGCAGGATGCCCTGGTAGGAGGCCAGCAGCAGGCAGATGGGGAAGAGGAAGCCCACCAGGAAGCGGTAGTAATTGATGCTACGCTGCCAGGACTGGATCGGGTAATGCTCAAAGCAGACTCGGTGCCGGTCCTCGTCCTCGATGACCTCCTTGTGCTTGAGGAAGTAGATGCTGGTCAGCAGCTCCTTGGCCCAGATGAGCACACTGACACCCACGGCTGCCTTCAGGGTTCGGAACTGGTGGAAGCGGAAGGGGTGGGCCACAGCCAGGTAGCGGTCGATGGAGATGCAGCAGAGGAAGCCCACGCTGATGTAGATGTTCTCATAGAGGAGGATGCCACACACCTGGCAGGATAGGTCACCGTAAGACCAGTTGTCGTGCTGGAGTACATACTGCAGCCAGAAGGGGAGCGAACAGATGTAGAACAGATCCGCAATGGTCAGGTTACACAGGTACACTCCCAGTTCATTCCGGGCCTTGATCTGCAGGTAGCCGAAGTAAAGGGACAGGCAATTGGCTGGGAAGCCCAACACCAGCACGGTCACATACACCACTGGGGCCAGTGTCTGGTGGATGGTGTGGTCGATGGGGCAGGTTTGTGAGGAGTTGTCTGTAGTGATGTTCCCCATCTTTGGGCCAGAAGGGGCCTCACCCCTCATGGGCGTGGAGATGGAGTCAATCTCTCGACTGCCATCTTGTTTATAGGCGGTAACTCAATTCCATCAAGGTCTGCTCCTCATTGGTGGCAGGCGAACCCCTACAAGTCAAGGCAGAAGAAGCTTTAAATAATCACAGCTAACATCTATGTAACACCTACTTATGCCAGGCACTGTTCTGTGGGCTGTATTCATTTAGAAGCTGTACCACCCAAGCAGCTCCGGTGCAACTGAAGGAGACATACCCAAATACTGGGGTGTGGCTTATGGTGCCCCGTCTCTGGCTTCCCTTATTTATCCCATTCACTTATTTATTTTTCTTGTCCCTTGGTGCAAGCAAGGGAGGTAAAGGGGAGGTCCTAGGAGCATAATTGAGCCTGGGAGTCTCCAAAGGAGACTCGAGGCAAGAGTTATTTCCGACTTGCCCACAGTGTGAGGACTCCATCATCTTACATACCAATAACAGTCTGATAACATTATAGGACTAAAGTAACTAGACCCAGTACTGAAGCCACAGCTGCTCCAGGGAGCTCTCCATACAGCATCAGAAGAGACACACCCTGGTCCACATCCTTCTGTGCGTGGCAGGAAACAATGGACAGTTTCTCATCACAGGGCCCTGCCCAAGTTCCTGCTACTCCTTAGCAAGTGTTGCCTCTCTCATCTCCCCAGTGGATCTTGGGCAAAGTTCTGGACTGGGGGTCAAAAGAAGCAAAGGTCAAGCCAGGGCCAGCCACTTGCCTGAGTTTGTGACTCTTTCTGAGCCTCAGTTTTCTTCTCTGGAATTTGGGGATTAAAAACACCTTCCCTTTCTGGTCAGGACCACATCAGAAGGTGGATGGGCGGCTGCAGTGTGTATCAGGGGCAAAAGGGGGCTTCTGAGATGCTCACTTCTTCAACACATTAGTGAGGTGACTGCATTCAGAGTTTTTGCTTGTATGTCTTGTCTTTGAAACAGGGTCTCACCATGTAGCCTGGGCTGTCCTGGAACTCACTCTGTAGATCAGGCTAGCCTCGACTTACAGAGATCTACCTGCCTCTGCCTCCTGAGGACTATGCATTCAGAATTTAACAAAAGGAACTCCAGACCACGATAATGTCTAAAGGTAGATAGAATGCAATGTTTTGTGGCCCATGTACTTGATAGTATATCAAAACAGTAAAGGCTTGAACTGTTCTATTGATTGCACCCTTCTCTCTCAGCTGGAAAAATCTCACCTGGCTAGCTACATTGGTATTTTTCTTTTCTTCCTCTTTATTATTTGTTTGTTTGTTTTTTGCAACATCTTTGTCTACTCCTGTAGTCTCCTTAGTGCCAGGGTGATAGTTCCATCTGCCCTGCTCAATTGACATTTTGAAGCCTTTTTTGCATTTTATTCCTTGAAGAAGTTGTTTTGGGCACAGTATTTGCTGTCTCATGATGAAACTTACTGTCACAGGTCTCCTGCACATTTTTGCTGAGGTCATCTGGAAGGTGACATGAAGCTTTCGGATTCCGCCCCCCTACCCCCACCCCTAGCTGAAAACCATTTCCTTCCCCTTGAGAACATAGTCCACCTGATTAAAGGTTCTAAATTAATGTAATTTGTGACACCTGCAGATCAATACTGGCTTTTGTGCTCTCTTCAGAGAGCTGAGGGCTAGCTGGGCTCCAGAGGGAAACCTCTTAGAGACCATGACCAAGTCTCAGCAGACTGCGAGACTCCAAGTTCCCGTAGCTCTCTCTAAAGCCGAGCCTCCCCGTCCACCCCAGCTCACCTCTCCACCACTACCTCCCATCTTGCCTTGGCTCCTGCCTGGCCAGGGACCACCAGAGCAGAGATGGCCAGAGGAGCCACTGTAATCTACTGGGAGGGGGCTCAGAGAAATCTGGACCCCTCAGCTCCAGTCCCAGGGTCCCTGAGGACTAATACAGGAAGTTTATCAGAAGCTACACTCAGTCTTGTAGATAACTACACACAGTCGCCCACTCTGACCTGTGGTTTTGGTAACCTTGATCTCAGCTACCCAAGGTTAACTGTGGTAGAGAGAAGAAGATGGGTGAGTGTAGCACACTGATGTATTTTGAACTTGAGAGGCTGAAGCAGGAGGTTTCAATGCCACCTTGTGCCACCTGGTCACTTAAACTTGATGAATAAATACCACTACCACATATATTATATATGCACATATTGTATGAGGGAGTGGTGGCACGTATCCACCTATCTGTAACCTCAACAATTATGAGGCAGAGGCAAGAGGATCACTGTGAGTTCAAGACCAGCCTGGGCTAATTGCTTAGTAAAATTCTGTCCAAAAAAAATGATATTTTGAAAGAGAGAAACCAATTCAAATAAATTCCTTACAGTGTACTATTATAATTATTCTTTTTATTACTAGCTATTGCTGACATCGTCCTGCATCTTATACACAAATTAAACTGCATCACAGGTACAGGGATGTACAGGATTGCTAACTCATGGTATAAATAGAGGTCGATACTGCACACCTGTGATTGTAGGCGTCTGCTGGAGGAGTTGGATGTGTGCTCTTAGAATAAGGTAGACCACTATGGATAGTCAGTTTTCCTGGATAAAGGGACCAGAATTCTCATGCTTTTTTAATGAGCAGGAGATGGGGCTGGTCCGAAGCCACCCTTTCTCTCATCTAGATCCCAACTCCCCTAACTGATTTAAAGCCCAGTCCCCTCCTCCACCCAGCTCTCCCTGCCTCTCACCCTAACCAGCTTCTTTCCTCAGAAGCCCCTCCAGCCCTTCTCTACTTACTACTCTTTCCCCCCTCTATCCCATCTCTGCCTCTACCCAACCCCAGCCCAGCCCTCCCACTCAGGCCCTTGCGCCAGTCATAACCATCCTCTGGAGCAGCGCAAATCATTCCCTTGCTTACACACTTGGAACTGAAATCCAAGCACCCCTGCCGACCCACCAGACCCCTGGTTCTAGCTCCCTAACCTTGCCTGCCACCCCATCTGGCACCACACAGCAGCCTCTGTCCCTCTACCTGGAATCTTGCCTAGTGGCTCCTTCCTAGAGTTCTCCTCACTGGGGCACCCGCCCTGCACAGCACCTGCTCTGCTAGAGCTCTGCTTGACTGTCACTTCCTGGAAAGGCTTCTCCTGGCACCACCACCCCCCATACACACACACACAGAGGAAAAGAAAAGGGGGGGGCGGTAGCACAGGCCCCAGGCTTCCACAGACCAGAGCAGACAAAGCCTCCTTGAGGCATGCCCTGTCCAGTCTTGGAAATTCCCTGATAGTCACCAGGCCCCAAGTCTGTTGTTTACTAGTGGTGAGTGTAAGGACGTGTGGGGTAGGGTGGGGTGGGGCTTGTAGCTTCCTCTTTCCTAAACCAGCAGCAAGCTACTTCTGGCAACCAAAGGCAGAAATATACAAGCCTGCAGAGCCAAGAAGCAGCGCTGACTACAGTGAGGTTGAGGCACTTCCCACGTTCACTTTGGAGCAAAAAGAACAGCAGTTCTTGAACTGGCTGCATCCGAATACCCTGGAGGATGCAGACTCTCATTGTCCTGAGGTTCCAAACTGGCTGGGTCTGAGAAAGGGGCTCTCAAAAATGTTTATATCTCAAACAAGCTCCTAGGAGATGCAGAAGATGCGGGGCTGCTGGACCATGGATCACACTTCTTGAATAGCAAGGTGCCAAAAGAGTCTAGAAGGTCATAGGCTCAGATTCTGAACATGCCCCCCTTCATGAGTTCCTGAGGCAGGAAGCAGATGCAGCTGGAAGAGACTTAAAACCCAGCAGGAACTTTGGGCAGAATAGGGCACAGGCCTATTCTGGGCATTTCCAGACTCTTCTGCAGAGCATGGCTCCAGTGGCCCTCAGGGCATGGCAACTGCAGGTATTCCTGTGTCTATTCCTTTAGCTTGCAAAATGTTTTGCACTTTATTTAGGGTTCCATGTCTGCACTCTGGTTCCACCTTCACAACCCTGTTTTTGTTTCTATTTAAGATATAATGTAACCAAAGAGACAAAGCAACTTGTCCAACAGTCCAGGTTTCATAGAACAGGGAACATTTGTGGAACATGTATAGTGTTCACGGAGCCGGGCTACATACAGGAGGGAACTTAAGAGATAAAATGGGAAAGAGCTCCCACCCCCAGGGAACCTCCAAGCCCCAAGTCAGGGAGACCACATGCATTGATCATTGCCATGAAAGGCGGTATCTCACACACATGCATTCAGTGTTGGTTCTTTCTTGTGATTCCTTGCATACTTTCTGTGGTTCTAATCCCATTATAGCCTGATGGCTCCCAGAGCTCCCCCTAGCTGAAGGCTTCGTACAAACCACTCCTGCCACCTCACAGGACCCCTCACATTCAAGTTCTTTACCTTGAATGGATGGCCTTTGGCTTCCTCCCTCATCCTCCTTCATGGCTTTAAGTAACAATTTTCAACTCCTACACTTTTGAAAGCATCACTCTTTTCTTTCTCTCACCAGCACCTCGCTTGGTCAAGACTTCCTTCTTGAAGTAAATGAAAATGCCTTAAGTTAGGTTCACGTCTGTGACTCACCACCTAAGCTCCATCTTCCAAAACACGAATCTAACAAGTCACACACTGGCTTTCCAAACAAAATTCACCCATCCACCCAGTCACCTATTCACTTACTCATCTATCCATTCCCTATCCACCCATCATCCATCATCCATCCACCCACACATACATCTAGCCATCTATCCTTCATCCATCATCCATCCACCCATCCATCCATCCACTCAGCCTCCCACCCATATCTATCTATCCAAACATTCTTCCAAGAACAGTACTGAATGTCCACTGTACAGAAGGCATTACACTATACCCTGGCTCTAACAGCCAACTTCATTTCATTCCCAGGAAGAAGAGAAGATCAGCGAAGTAAACTCCTAGGAAGAGCACAGGATTTTGTGGGAGTTCTTTGGAGGTAGCCTGATGCAGTAAGGGGGGCCTTCCTGCGCAGCAACAGCCAAACTAAGGCCAAGAGGAAGAGGAAGGGCTGCCAAAACAGTGGGGGAGTTTCTGCCTGTGGAAAATGTGTGCCATCAAACGCAAGAGGGAGAAGTGAGTACCTTTGGGGAACTGAAAGTAGCTT